CCAGTGTCTGTATATTGGTTACAGCTAATTCACTTTTGCCATGTCTGACTGGTTGAAATGGGGTGGGGAGCCAATGTAGCTGGAAAAAAGAAGCTGAAAATTTTTTTTCTGCTAGAGTGGCTTAATTCTTAAGCCGTCCAGCTTCTAACCTGGGTGTCCAAAGCTCAAACGAAGAAGTTCCCTATAAATTATCTCCTTTACCCCCTTTGGGGTTGGATAACTTGGCAAGCATGATTTAGACGGGAAGACACGTAATTACAACCCGTATTTTAATTTTGCAGCCAGCTCCTCGTCTGGCTTGGTGGACCTAACTATCTGAAAGCTACCCCATTACAACTTAAACTCGCCTCTGGAAATTCTATTTACTGATCCAAGTTATTACCTTCTCAGTTCCAGGAAAAGAGAAAAGGAATTTGGGAAACATTCCAGGTTGAAAATGTCTGCACGTTCTTCCATTGGGTAGGAAATGGATGATTACTGTAGCTCTGTCAAAAGTTTGCTACCAAGAAAATGAAACCGCTAGATGCATTGGGCCTTAAAAACAAATGTATTTAGTTGTAGAAATGTCAAGGAATGCCCTGCGTCCCCTCCGCTAAGGAAATACTTCTAGTGAGACCAGGAAGAAGAGCCTTCTCTATGGTAGCTCCCTCCCTGTGGAACGTCATCCCCAAAGAAATAAGACTGACCCCAACTTTGGCCCTCTTTCCCAAGGACTGGAAGACCCGGTTTTGCCTGGGGAATCCAGAGTGGGATGGAGCCATCGGGTTGGAGTAGGAGGGTTATGTCTCTCTATTGTTTTTTTAAATGAGATTTTTAATGGGATTTACAGAGGGTGAGTTGGGTGGCGGTATAAATTTTCTTAAATAAATACCCCCCCCCCCCCCCCTTTAAATACATACAGTTGGAGAAGTGAAACACTCATTTTGGTTTGTTTGGCTGTTATAACATTCACAGATCAATAAGGGTGGCAAATATTTAATGAAAATACCCCATTCTGGATGATGTTGCTAAGCGAGTTGTGCTATAGATTATTTCTTAACATCGTCGTGGCAATTTTGGATGTATAATATGGCTACTCTACAGCACGGTCATTTATTTATTGCCAAATATACGCATTGTTAAACATGAGCCAGACAAAACGGATACCAGACTCATTCGATTAGAAGATAGTGCCTGTGAAGCCCCTGTAAATATCTGCTATGGCTTCAAAATGCTCCGGGCAGTGCATCACCCAATTTCTCACTGTTTAGCTGGCTAAGTCTTTTGCTGACAACAGCCATTTCGCTGGCAATCTGTTACTTAGTAGTACTTATTTCTTTTCTCTGGTGTGCAGAACAAGGATATTGCTTGTTTCGGTCAGCTCAATATATTTAAGTCTGTGCTTCCCCAGAGCCTGATTCTATACTTGCGACTCCGTGAACTGTCCAGCCCCTCAAACTGAAATAAAGCGGCAATTTCTTGAAGCTTTACTCTATATTCCTATGATACTGTAAACATATGCAGCACTGGTCCCATTTATGTCTTATCCATTGTTAGAAAGTCAAGGGAGCATGCATGCCCTCCTAGTTTTATCCACCTACAGCAATCATGTGAAGTGGATCAGGTTGACAGAGGAGGACTGGACAGGAGTTAAAACTAACCTGGATGTTCACAAAAGAAGCAAATCCTTCCTGATTTCAATAGTCAACCAACCTTAAACCTTGCTCTGAAGTTTTAATTTTCCACATCTTTGAAACCTTGAAAGAAAGTTCTGATAGGTGTGATGGAACTTTCCCCACCTCCTACTAAAAGGGCAAGGAGAAACAAAACAATTAACTATTATTTTTTGATTTAGAAAAGTTGTGTTTTGTCGCCCACTCACTCACAGTGATTCTTGTCTGCTTACAAAAAATAAAAACCCAACATACAACAATAAAAACAATAACCCCTCTCTGTCTGTCTGTCTGTCTGTCTGTCTCTCTGTCTCTCTCTGTCTCTCTCTCTTTGTCTGTCTGTCTGTCTCTTTCTCTCTCTCTCTCTCTCTCTCTCTCTCTCTCTCTCTCTCTCTCTCTCTCTCTCTCTCTCTCTCTCTCTCTCTCTCTCTCTCTCTCACACACACACACACACACACACACACACACCCTCAGAGAAGCCACCTGATGGCCCTCATCCCATTCTGGGCTCCTCAGACCCATTGGCAAAAACCTTGCATTTTATAGAAGCTAATATAAAAGAAATCAGAAAAAAGGCGGAAGAGTAAAATAGAACTGAATTAACCAAGGATTTAGGGATGTTATGGAGGTTACAGTTTCCAGCACATCGTGCTTGTGATTTTGAATAACCGAATGAATACATGACATTGTTTTTAAAAGACTGGAAAGAGCCCTTCAGGGAATCACTACGAAGCTTTGACCAAAGCATGAATATCAGAAACAATGACCAACACGGTATAAATCACCAGGAAACATAATTTCAAGCCTCTTCTGTCCTTGGTGCTTGGGTTTGCTATTGGAGCAGTATCTCCACACAAAAGCCCATTAATGAGGCTCTGGATGTTTACAGCAACAGCTACGGATTTTGTCTATTGCTGCAGTTACCTGCAGAGTCCCATTCCGCTCTCGTTCTCTGTTGCTGCCTACTTGTTCTGTTGGTCGAGCTTCGAACAACCAAGAGGGAGAAAGAAGTCAATTTTGGAGGTTGGAGTGGGAATTCCAGCTGATTGGAATTTTAAGGTATCTCAAATATACAAATACCGTAGCACTTTTCTTTTCCTGCAGGTTTACCCGCTCCAGACTAAAACGGATGTGACCCTTTGCATGGTTGACTACCAGGCGCCATACTACACCTAGCTAGGCTAGGATAACTGGGCCCTGAATAACCTGTGGTTCTGCTTTTGGAGCCAAAACCATTGCCTTGGCATGTGGGTATGATCTAGGCCAGGGGTGTCAAACTCAAGGCCCCCAGGCTAGATACAGTTTACAGGGTGCTTAAATCTGGCCTGCAGGGCTGGCCTGGAAATAGCAAAGGACTGGCCCATGGTACCCCTAGCAGCTGAAACGGGGCACAGGGGACTACCCGTGGCCCCTGCATGGCCCGTTTTCAGTCTGGATGGCCTCTTGCAACACTTTGCCAGCCAAAACGGACCGTGAAAGAGCCTTAACAATGGCTAAACGAATGTCAATACCTCGCACATTTTTGAATTCTTTGCTTTAGATTATCCAAGCATCATTAGTATTGGGGTAGATGAGCCCACCCGCTTTCCTGTCCATGAACTTGTTGCATACCAATCGTCGTCTTTTGTCCATGCTTGACATTTAAGTGACATTCAAGAATTGAGTTCAAATGCAGGTTTTAACGTTGCACCCAATGTAACTCTTCTTGAGCAAATGCTAAAGAAAAAATAACACAAAGAAGTAATATGAAACTCATGAGATTGAGATTCTGCGTCTGGCCTGCCATGTTCCTCTCATTTCATCACAGAAAATGAAAGTTATCATTTTAATGGGCGGTAGGCAAAGAAGCCAGTAAGCTCCTTTCACTTCTAACCTTAATAGGGTTTTTTTTTTTCCCTTTTCTTCAGAAAGGTAGCTTAATTAAATCAAGCCAAAGATACATACTGTACAGCAGGTGAAGCTTCCAGAAAGATAAACAGATCAATAAACCAATTTGTGTTTGCTGACTAGAAGAGATTTCTAATTACTGGTGCTCTCTGCTTACCATTTCTGAGGGTGGCAGAGTAATTGAAAGGATAAGAAATCCAATTCCTTGTTGTTTAAGAATTTGTTCCTGTTTAGCACCCCTTAACCGAGCTGGTAATGCTGACTCGCTTGTCGGATTGAAGGCGATAATTTATTGCTGCCTGTCCCAGTTCCCTATTAAGGAATTGCTTCACATTTTGGTTAAAATAATACTGGCTGGTTAAATTGTTAAAATAACATTGAAACATTCACATTGATTATTTGATGGTGACAATTAGCATTTTTAAATTTAACATTTTAGCAGTATGTGAGCTCACCTAACCCCTATTTCTTACTATAAACATGTTCCTTTTTTGTTGTTGTTCTATTTAGGTACAAAATCTAGAACAAGAAGCGAGGCATAACTGTTTATTACTACTGAAGAGGGAATTCTATTGTAGATAGAAGGCAATACCAATTATTGAAGATGAAACAAATCCTTATTTTGGATATTATTATAATGCCCATAATACATTATTACTGTGATACCCGTTATAGTAAATCAAATGGTGAATAAGAGTTGTGATTCTACATGGGTTCTGTCTGTGCAAATGTGAATTTGCAGTAGCCTGGTGGTAATTTGTACTGCTTTTCCTCTTGGCATTGCTGGTGCTGGAAACAAATTTGTGCTATAAATAAACCAAACTAGTTTTCAGCTCCAGTAGTATAAATTGTATTTGCATCTAATTAGCTAGTGAATTCTGTCTGGAAGGAGCACTGACAGACAATGGTAGATATTTTTTAAAAAATCTGTCTAACCCTCTAATTCAGGTGTTATTGAATATCCATTGATACTACAGTGTAACCAGAATCCCATTCCCAGTCCCAACTGATGTTTTACTCCACTTTTGGACCTACAGTTTGCAATGGTTGTACCTGGGAATTATTTGGGTAGGGAAAATCCAATGTAAGTCATAGTTGGAAGTCTATAGACAAAGGAATTCTTTGATGGAGCAGGTGGTGTGGTGCTTGCAAGTGCAAAGGAGAAAACGCCATATTTAAAGACAAACAAATTGGTTTGCTTATTGCCAACTTTAATAGCAGTAGCAATTAGATTTATATACTGACCCATATTGCTTTAGGCTGTTTACAATGTCAGCCTGTTGCCCCCAGTAATCTGGGTCCTCATTTTACTGACCTCGGAAAGATGGAAGGCTGAGTCAAGCTTGAGCCAGTCAGGATCGAACTGTTGGCGGTGGGCAGAATCAGTCTGCAATGCTGCATTCAAACCACAATTAATGTTCCCCCCCTCCCCCCATCCCTTTGTTTCTCCTTCATTTTCAGCCCTGGCCCAGTGTGTCCAACCTCGCTAAAGATTTCATTGACCACCTGCTCACTGTGGATCCCGGCGACCGGATGACAGCCCTTCAAGCCTTGAAGCATCCCTGGGTGGTAAGCATGGCGGCCTCTTCTTCCATGAAGAACCTGCACCGCTCCATCTCTCAAAACCTCCTCAAGAGGGCGTCGTCTCGTTGCCAAAGCACCAAATCAGCCCAGTCTACCCGTTCCAGCCGCTCCACCAAATCCAACAAGTCCCGCCGCGTGCGGGAGAGGGAACTGCGGGAACTGAACTTGCGGTATCAGCAACAGTACAATGGCTGACAGCTCGACAAGAGACGATCTCACTTCCTTTTTTTTCTGTCACTGGGGCGCGTGGTGCAGAGTGCCCATTAAGTCCACAGCTGCCTTATTTCTTCTCTGAAAGTTCAGTCTCTGTGTCTGTCTTTCTCTTTTGAAAGAAATGGAGATTTGGGGACATGGATGCCTTTGGGGAAATGCCCTCCCTGGGCAGGGTCAGTACAGTATCTCTGCCGTGGTTGGGAAACGAGGAAAGTCCTTTTGGGGTCCTCCCTGGATCAAGCCCCGAGCTGATGGTCTGAAATACTGGAAACACATGGAAGAGAAAATGCTTACTCAGTTTAAAATCCTGGCTACCACTGCTTATTTAACGACGAAAGTCAATTGTTGTTGGCACAGTGTCTGATGGTTGAGAGATTTAGAAGGCAATCCTCTGCCCACTTACCTGGAAATAAGCTTGATTAAATTAATAACCATTAGACACGTACAGAAGTACACACTAGGTTTCACTTGCTTAAGATTTGGAATCACCTGGAGCTGGAGGCACTTCCAGGAGTGCAGAAAGGGACAGTCAGTTTTCTTTACCAGCATGACCTCTTGGACTGTGCTAAACATTTTTTTTCTGGTAACATTTAATGTGTATGTGTGTATGTGTGTGTGTGTGTGTGAAGAGGGGGATGTTCTCTAGATCTGGGCCAACATTTAACTGGAAATGGCTTGGAATGAGCTTTGTTCTTCTTGCCTCTTACTCTTTCGTGGCATTGCTTTGATCTTCAGTTTGTTTTTGGTTTTTTTTCCACTTAATGTTGGGATGAATTATAATCCCAGTTATCATTCCAAGCCTGCCAAAATTGTAGGATGTGGGTCAGCGTTCCACATTCCCAGAGACTGCAAGAGCCTTAATGAGTTTGTCTTCCAACATCACACCCTGCTATAGATTGTCCTATTACAATGACAGAATGAGCGGTAGAAATGTCTCATCAAAGGTTGCGGTTGAAGTTTGTTGTGTCTGCCTATAGAATGTGCAGAGAAAACAACTTAGAATTGTTAACTTATGTAGTTTAATGAGATCCACAAATATTCTACGCTGCAGAGACCCCCAAAGGATTAACCCAGTTAAAAAAAAATTGGACAGTTGCAAACAGAGGCCAAAACCAAAAGCAATAATCCTGCCGCAGCCATGTTTTTTAAAAAGTCAGGTGAAGCAATGATTATAACAAGATTTGCACATTACCAAAATGCATCTTCAAAATCATTAACCAACTTGAAGGAGAGTTGAATTCTTCCATCCTTGTTTAAGCCTGATATACAGCCAAAGGAAGGTGTTGGGATTTTGACAATGGCATTAATCCTTTAATTTCAAACAGCGTGGAGAGTCAGGTTTTAAGGGCTCCATATAGAAAAATGCATCTCCCTGCACAGATTAGGAAGGAACCTTCAGAGGCACTAAACCTTTATTAGCAAAGAGAAGATTAACCGAACGTGGGAATGGATTCAAAGTGGCCCCCACATGCATGCATGGTGGAGGGGTCCAGTGAAGTCTGCTACCTCATTCTGCGGGATAGGAAGACTCCCGTGGGAACCGAAAGCTGGTCAAAAGACCGCCTGGAGTTTCCCAGTCATTGATCCTAGCTTTGAAAATAACTACCCAGAGATGTTTTTAATTCTCTACATCAGCCCAATTCCTATTTAGTTGAGCTAGTCCCCCGGATCTTTTTCCGTCGTTTTTTTTCCAGGTTGGAATTGTGGCCAAGACAGCTAAAAAGTGCCTTTTATCAGCAACCAATACCCTCCTTATACCCTCTGGCAGATCCTGGTTAGCAATGTAACTTTCTCAGAACTAATGCACATGTCTTTAACGATAATTAGCCAGCAGTTTAAAGTTTAGCATTTCTTCAATCTTGACACTCAAGGGGTTTTATCATGTTGGGCAGTTAAATGCCACTGGATTTTATGAGTGTTATGAGCCTAAAGATAAGTTTTACTCCAGCGAGTGATGATTCTAGACTAGAGGTATCCCTGCAGCTTAATTTTTACATTCGCTTGAGCATGCATTATTCTACTTTTGATGTATCTCTACTCCTGTACCAAGCACACCACGTGTAGAATTGGTTTCTCGGGCCAGGGTGCCATCTAGTGGTTCAGGATACACTTGCCTGTCGGATCAATTAATGCAAAGGCCTGTTAATGCTTGACATTATATCCCGTCGTTATTTACTGTACCAGAATTGGCATACCTTAATTCATATTTTGATAGATGTTGGGCCATATCAAATTTCCCATTGGCATTTGCATCAAAGGTGCTTTTTCAAGAGGCAACTGGACAAAGAAAGTCCAGTGGCCTCTTGAAAAAGCACCTTTGGGGCAACCCTGACCTGGGTGACTGAGAATCTCCATGGACATTGGCCTTGGCAGTATTTACTTGACTCTTCAGAATATTCTTAGGTCTGAGGTAGAGATTTCTTTCACTCTTCTTTTGGATAAGATACCAATTTCAGAGAGAGGCACTGTTTTTGACCCCTTAGTTGTCCATGGAGATCAGTACTATCATTCTAAGCATAGAGGTGAGAAACCTCCGTGGCGGATGGCCTCCTGGCCTTCTATAATTATAAGCAAATCATTCACAGAGTGGAGTTTCTGCTTTTAAAATGCATGCCATACTTTCTAAGACAGGAAAGTTATGTTTATCCTGGATGCAGCATAACTGTTAAATCCATGCTTCTTCCAATTCATGTTGGTGTTTAGCTGCTAAGTTGATTTATGATACGTACGCCATAACGACCATTGAATATTCTCCTGATCTTGAGATTAGGTTGTGCCCAGTACCAATGCCCCCTTTTCTCACTCTTGGAAATACTAAATGTTGTAAATATACTGGAACTTAGCAATACTGTGTTAAAAAGCACGATTAATTTGAAATCCATCCGTGATGTGGAGAAAGAATGCAAAGTTGGGATTACATGCTGAAGACCTAAGTGTGCTATACATTAGAAGTCACTTCTGGCCCTCATATTGCCGTCAGAAATATATATATATATATTTTATGTCTTGTATTTGAGCATCAGTGGGTCCTTTTAGTGCCAGTCTCTTCCTGTCACTTTCTAAGGGCTCTTTGGACTACAGCCACGCATACCCAAGGGTTGGCAGTAAGCGGTGTCATCGAATTACTGCCAAGTAGGAAGAAGCATAAGATTTTTTTCTAGAGATTAAAAGAAGGCTGTCGGGAGCCAAGCATCTCCGTATTCCACAATGTCAGGATATCTAGCTTTTATCAGGCATTCTTGTTGTCTACCTTTAAACTGCCTACCTTTTTTTTTAATCCAGGAACTCTTGCACTTTATCTTGTCCCGATAATTTTGTATTTCCTATGAGTCACATGTTTCAACATTTCCCATCATTTCATAGGAAGCACAAGTTCCAGTGTTTCCCAACGTGTCCAATGAGTTCACAAGATGGCGCTTTAACCCTTCTGGCTTTTTAATGACTTTTATTCTCCAGTGGAAGAGAATTAAAATGTGGAAATGTTACTGTGACCATACAGTGATTCACTAGCCCGTCAGAGCTGCATTTCTCATGAAATTATTTCCAGGAAGATATTCCCTTCCCAATGAGGACCACAATCATCCTCCGCTTACTAGCCCAACATGGATTTCCTACGACTGGTGGAGAGGATATGACAGGAGATCATTTTAAGCAGTCCTTCTGTGTCTGCCATTATGCCTAGACTGGCCTTTAAATGTTTATCACATAAATGACCAGGATTGTTATGTGTGTATATTTCAGCTTTGATGAGCAAATAAGGGGGTGGAGATGGAAGTAAAGTAGTCTTATGTTCTTCTGAGGTTTTGTAAATAGAATTCAGCAGCTGGAGAACTTCAAGAAAACACATTTGGGAATTGGGATCAGATGCATAAATCCACACCGGTTAATTTTGCCAATTCTTTCAAAAAGTTGCCTTTATCTCAAGATGGATATAAATGCCATTTTGCCAGTTTAGTGCCTTATTTAAACTACTCAAGTCATTATTCCTGGAAACCTAGCACTCACAATGAGTTCAGTCCAAAGAACCACTTTGCTGATGATAACAGTAAGTCCAGAGTAGTTCTCTTTTTTTCTGTGTTGTGTTACAAATAGCTTTTGAAACTCTGCGTGTCAAAGGAAGTCTGATGTAACACAAGGGACTCCTTTGTTCAAAGGAAAGGAAAAAACATTACAAATCTCAGTGACAATTTTTGAACTACTGGGTGTCTGGGCTCCATCTGATGTCTTGGAAGCAGAAATAATACAAAAAAATAGGAGATTTTCCCTTGGATGGGGTAGAGCAGGGGTCCCCAAACTTGGCAACTTTAAGACTTGTGCACTTCAACTCCCAGCTGGCTGGAGTATTCTGGGAGTTGAAGTCCACAAGTCTTAAAGTTGCCGTGTTTGGAGACCTCTGGGTTAGAAAAAGATATGTTGCTGCCCTGCTTTTAATTTTTCTTGGTTTGGTTCAGCAAACCATCTTTTTCCAAACCATTTATCTTAGGGAGGAAGTCCTATAGATTCACCGAAATCCTAGATGGACAGTAGCTGTCCATGGTACTGGTGCTTACAAGTAGTCCTTGACTCACAACTATTTGTTTAGTGGCCGTTTGAAGTTGGAACAGCCTCTGAAAAGGATGACCTGTGACCATTTTTCACCCTGAAGTTGCAGCATCCCCATGGTCATGTGATCAAAATCCAGGCGCTTGGCAACCGGCATGTATTTATGGCCGTTGCGCTGTCCCCACAGCCTCACCATTTGTGACGTTCCCAGATGGCTTCCTATCAGCAAAATCAACAGGGAAAGCCAGATTCCCTTCACGGACCCACTGAACAATTGTAGCGGTTCGCTTAACAACTGCGGCAACCAGGAGCGTGAAACCGGGCACAACTCATTTATCCACAGAAATTTAGGTCTTGATTGTGACCATTAAAGTCAAGGCCTGTCCTGGAATTCTGTGTACAGATAGCGTGTCTTAACATGCCTCTTAGCAGCTGCACAATACTGAGGTTGTGTTTGTGTGTGTGTGTGTGTGCGTGTTGGGAGAGAAGATCCTTTCCAAATATTCCGTACTCCAGCAGTCCCCAACTATCTCTTTGTGCCTTCCTGCCAATATCTGGCTTGCTATGAAAATGTCACTTTTGGCACTACAGCAGGGATGTGCAACCTCTGCAAGTTTGTAGACTTCAACTCCCAGAATTCCCCAGCCGGCATGGAATTCTGGAAGTTGAAGTCCACAGATCTTAAAAGTTGTCAAGGTTGGATAGCCCTGCATTACAGTATCCCCTGGAAGTCCTCCAAGGTAGGAATTGAGCAACTTACGTCCGACTTCATGGATTCTTCTTCCCATCGCTATAACATCCAATTTGTCAAAAATAACCTCTTTTTCATAGGTCAGCAATTTCCACTTCCTTCCCCTCCCCCCCCCCCCCCCAAAGTATTCATATCTGTGATTGTTGTCTTTGGTGCCTTTGGGAATTTTTTTTTATTTTTTACACAATGGAATCTCTACTTTTTTAGAGGGTGATTTGATGCATGACAGTTAACCTGTAATGTTGAAATTAGTGTATGGAATTATTTATTTTGTGTATTCAGACTGTTTTTAAATTTTGGAACTGTAACCTTTTATTCAGTAAAATGTTGATCCTCATAGAGTGGTGGGTTGTTGCTTTTGTTCTGGTGGGGTATGGTTGTAATACATGGTCTCCAAACTTGGCAACTTTAAGACTTGTGGACTTCAACTCCCAGAATTCCACAGCTAAACTATGCTGGCTGAGGAATTCTGGGAGTTGAAGTCCACAAGTCTTAAAGTTGCCAGGTTTGGGGGGGCCCTGCTCTAATTAAATGCAGTTGATTTTTTTTTTCAGGTGAGGACCTGCATTTCTGAACTCTAATGGATGAGGATAAAAACAATTGTTTGAAAATGATTGTAGATAATACGCACTCCTGTATTCAGTAATTTTCCCCATCTATCAAACCTTGAAAGAGAAATGGCTGGAACTGCTACTGGCTTATATTTATATTTTAATAGACTTTGAGGTATGTTTTATCAAATCCTGTGAGATGGGACACCACTTCTGAAATTGTCTCCCGTTTTCCATATTTGCAGTGGATTAATGTTTGGATGTCCAGTCAAATACTTAAAGCATGACAAAATAGGGACAAAATAGCTTATATGTGGAGCTATTTTACCAAAAGCTTAGAGATGTCAAAGCACAATGGGAAATTTTCAGTCAGAGTCTAAACCGTGACTATCTTTTTTTAAAAAAAAATAGTTTAAATTAAACAGCTGGAATTAGCTCCAGAATTCTGGTAAGGACTCTTGAAGAAAGTTACTACTGGTAGTCCTCGAGTTACAAATGTAACAGAGTCTGCCACTTACATTTGTAACCTGAGGAGTCATTGGAATGAATCACGTAAAATGAATGTGAAAACTGCCTTTTCCCACACATTTGCTAATCGAATGCTTGGGTTGTTAAGTGCACATGAGGCATCTCAGGGTAGGGAAGGCCACTGGGTGGGGTGGAGGGCTAGGGATGGAATAGACCACTTGCTTGAGACCACCCAAGTCCTCCCTTGACCCACTGAGATACCTTATGCTCCCCACAGTTGCTTTCCCCGCCCGTCTTCTTGCCGCATCTGCAAAGATCTTGTGAACTGTCTCCGCCCTGTCTGCTGCGGTTTCTTTGCCTACTCCCAGGCGCTCCAAAAGCACAGCGGTGAGAGCAGAGGGAGAGAGGGGACAAGGGCGCCCTGCTCGGCTTCTCCGCTTTTGCAGAGAATGGGTGCCTAAAGTTGTGTGAGATCACAGCCCCCGGAAGCTTCCAGTCTCGGTGGCCAAAGTGTTTGCAAGCTGATGGGACGCTTCAAAGCAACGCGACTTCACCGCCCCAAAGCGTCCCGTTAGCAAGACTGGAAGCTTTTGAGGGGCGGGGGAGACTCACAGAAGCTGCCCACCATTTCAGAAGTCAGAGACTGTTGTTAAGCAGGATGTGAACATCCTGCTCTCACCGCTCTGCTTTTGGAGTGCCAAGAACAGGGAAAGAAATTGCGGCAGAGAGGCTGGAGAGGAGACAGCTCACTAAACCTTCACAAGGTGTATCCACAGGCCCAGGGAGAATGGAATAGGCAGTGTTGTGGTTCACCGGCAGTCTGTGCAGACGACAGCGGAATCGGACAGTGGGGAAGAACGGGGACCAGCCTGGGAGTCTGGAGAGGATTCAGATGAGGGTCCTGCATCCAATGCAGAGATGGGGCCAGGATCATCTGGGAGTGGGGTGCTGCCTCCAGAGCTTTTGGAGTCTGGCAGCAGCGAGGCAGAGGACCCAGGGGAGCCTGTTCCCAGTGTGCAAATGCGCAGAGCTGCTAGAAGGCGAAAGCAGCTGAAATAAAAGGACCAACTCGAGAGTAAGGCTGGGAGGTGATTGCCCCTCCCATAAGGTATAAAGGACAGTCCAAGATGACAAAAACTTTGCAGGAAGCAAAGTCGTTCGGTTCAGATTCACTCTTGAAGGTCTTTGTACTTCGGTTGGTTTTCTTTCTAGTTCATTTGACATTTTTGTTATTGGCAGCACTTCACAGGAAAGAAAGGTGGGTGCTTATCTCAAGGGACTGAAACAAGACTTGTTTTTAAAATAAGCGTGTGTGTAATTACAGTCTCAGAAGCCTTGGTCAGAACAGGCAGGGGGAATGTTGCATTGCCTCTGTGGTCGTTCATAAGGGTGAACGACCACTGTGTGGGGGCCAACATTCGCAACCTCGGGACTGTCGTAAGTACTTTGTTGGGGTGTGTGTGTTATGTTATAACTTTGAACAGTTGCTAAGTGAACGGTTGTAACTCAAGGATTACCTGTAATTTATTTCATTTTATTATGACAGATGATCATTGGAGGAAGATTTTTTTTCTTTGAAATGAAAACGGATGTGTTTTTTTCCATGGGGGAGGGTGGGCGGAATCCCAGTGACAGCGTTGGTCTTGTGTTTCCCATGGGTGTCATCAATTTCTAGCTACTGTTTGGTCAATCCAGTTGCGGAATTTGGAGACGCGGGCGTAGACAGCAGGAGTCCAGACGTTACAGTTGGGGCTTCCCCAGGAGACGATGCCAACCAGAGTCCAGCTGGAGCCTTTCTGGCATACCAGAGGACCACCAGAATCGCCCTAAAAGGAAAATGCAAGTGCTTTTAAGAAAACTCTCTTTTTTTTAAGCCTAGGGTCAGAAAAAATTAACCAAGGAGGAGCCCAATTTGTACCAAAGGTGCTTTTTTTCAAAAGGCGACTGGACTTCCTTTGTTTATCCTTGAAGGCCTTTTGTTTCTCACCCAAGAAGCTTCTTCAATCCTTCAATCAGAAGCGAAGAAGCTTCTTGGATGAGAAGAGAAAGGCCTTGAAGGAAAAAAAACAAGGAAAGTCCCAGCTGCCTTTTGAAAAAGCACCTCTGGTGCAGCCATGGCCTGGATGACTGAGAATCTCCATAGGCAGCCCAATTTGTATTCGAATAAGAGTCTTCTAGAGAAATCAAAGATTGCAAACTACCCTGGAAAACTGAAATAGTGTCCTGGAAGAAGGCAGCAGTGGTCAACCATTTTTGTTTGGCTGCCAAGAAGACCACAGAGTCATGTCCTTGATGCCACCAGGAGTTGACCTCAACCCAAAGGAGATGAATTTGACCTTAAAAAGCCATTTGAAACTTTTCAGATCATGATTGGCACTTGGATATCCTTTGAGTAAATGGAACTCTTAAGACCTCCTCCACAGTGGTGGGATTCAAACATTTTTTTCTCCCGGTTCTGTGGGCGTGGCTTGGTGGGCGTGGCAGGAGAAGGATACTGCAAAATCCCCATTCCTTCCCCACTCCACTAACCTGCTTTCCAGCTCCGTTCTCCTGTGCAGGGCAACCAAAGGAGACCCAGCCACTCAGATGGGACTCAGTGGGAGGCAGAGAATAAATGGGGGCAGGAGCAGTCAGAGGTGGTATTTGCTGGTTCTCCAAACTACTCAAAATTTCCACTACCGGTTCTCCAGAACTGGTCAGAACCGGCTGAATTCCACCTCTGCTCCTCCAGTAGGGCCAAAGGTATGAAAAACCTGAAGAATATTACTGAGTGCATTTCTCTACCAAGCTGAATCCAGGGCTGGATCAAAGAACCTCCCTCTCACAGTTGAATATGCTCCTGTACTGTCCAGACAGTATAGAGTTAATGGGATTTGGGATAGTTAGTTAGGATTTGAGAGTTGTCCCCTTAAGGGAATGCATCATGGTAAATGTAGTTAAGGTATCCTGGGAAATGTAGTTCATGTCATGTGGCCACATCTGTAATCCTGATTGGTCACTAAATTGACCCTTGTTGGGTTGGGGGAGGCTCCCTCTCTCTTGCCTGAACACACAGCCTCATGGTAGTAGCTAACCCCTGCCTCTATTTCTATGGGATGAAATATGGAATAGAAAGATTATGATCACTTTACTATTCTGTCTTATGATTCACTTGCTGACTATAAAGACAGATAAGAATAACTCTACAAATCCTTCCATACAAAGTTTTTCTTTTATTGGATTATATTAGGTATCCTCAAGGTGACTCACAGTTATGTCGAGATGCATCTAATGCCCAATTCTTTGCATAGTTGAAATTGCAGTGTAAAATGATAGTAATTTTCTATTCCATATTTCATCCCATAGAAGTAGAAGCAGGGGGTAGCTGCTACCACGAGGCTGTGTGTTCAGGCAAGAGTGAGGGAGCCTCCCCCAACCCAACAAGAGTCAATTTAGTGACCAATCAGGATTACAGATGTGGCCGAATGTATAGAGTTATTCCCTCTGTCTTTATATTCAGCAAGTGAATCATAAGGCAGAATAGCTCCCCTGATCCTATCTTTTTTACAGAGAACCTTACATGGCAGGATGTGGCACCAGCTCCACCCGCACATAACATAGAACTGGTGATCGGTTTGGGAAGTTTTTGCTGGCACACGTCTACCGGCACCAAAGGAAGAACGACTTGCTGTAATATGACTGCGGATTGTTGTGCTGGCAAAAAGAAAGAAAGGGAAAAAGAAATATCAGTGCGGAGGAAAGCAACCCAGTTGGAATTGTCAGGTTGAATTAAAGAAGAAGGCAGGCTGGTGTCTTCGCTCTTTGATTTGGCTTTTCTCAGCCCACTTACAATTCAGATTGTTCCGTCCCCAACCGGTTGTGACACACTTGGAACCTTGGGGTAAAACTTCCGTGGGAGAAGCCAGGCGGACCGGAGAAATGTAGGCATTCAGCTGCACTGGACTAGACAGCTTCAATAGGGCGACGTCGTTATTTAGATTGTAGGAGTCCCAGTCAGGACGAGTGATGACCTGGAAAAAAAATCAGGAGCGGGAGGAGAAATCTTAAAAGATTGTAGTCTCTGCTTGATTTAAGATCTCAGAAGTCCATCGCTCCCTGTTAGGCCCTTGAGGGTTTTTTTCCATTCGAAAACCAAGATGATCAGCAATGCAAAACTGATAGCTGTTGGCATTTCTGAATGGAAACACCAGGTAGAATTCTCTATATTGCCTTTAGATCTCAATCTAAAAATCACATTTTTGTATGAGTGCTATCTTGTCCTTCGTTAAGAATCTCTAAAGGAAAATAAATAAGTAAAAAGAAAATAAGAGCAGGGAAAGAGTTTGAAGTTTTGCCAACTTAGGGTACCCCAGATTTACTGGACTGCATCTTCCATCATACCCAATATCATCAGAGCGTTGAGAATTATAGTCTAGCGCAGGCATCTCCAACCTCGGTGACTTTAAGCCTAGTGGACTTGGCTTCCCAGAATCCCCCAGCCAGCTTTGCTGGCTGCAGAATTCTGGGAATTGAAGTCTACCAGGCTTAAAGTCACCAAGGTTGGAGACCCCCTGGTCTAGTACATTTAGAAAACTTAAGCTGGAGAAAATTTAGTGTAGCTGCTGTCTTAATACAACGATAGCTGGAACAAATGTTTAAGATGCTGAAATTCTAAAAAGAGTCCAGAGAAGAGCAACAAAGACAATGGTTTGGAGGCTAAAACAGACGCTGAGCAGGAACTAGGTATGTCTACTCTGACTAAGAGAAGGGCAAGGTGTGGCATGATAGCATTCTTCTGGTAACTTGAGGACCAGTCACAGGGAACAAGGGGTTGACATACTCGCCTGGCCTCAGAAGGCAGGGCGAGAAGTATGGAAGCTTATCAAAGAGAGATCCAACTTAGAATTAAATCCTTCCCTGAGAACAATGAGTCAGTGGACTGACATGCCTCCAGAAATTGGGTGTGCTTCATCACTGGAATTCTTAAGAATAGAGACAGCCAGTGGTCCAAAATGGTATAGGCTGTCCTGCTTGAGTGCGGGGAGGGGTAGACTAGAAAACCTCCAAAGTCCCAACCCTGTTATTCTATATTCTGTGTTGTAATAGGAAGGAAATACACAATTAAAATAAATATGGGTCTGCAGATATTGAAAGAGACAATACTAGACTGAAATAAGTTATGTCATAATGAAGGTAAGGAAGGAAAGTCAAGAGCCATTATCCTGGACCACGTTACATCAATGCTTACTTTGACTTAGCAAAGCCAACTACCATCATTTGCCAACCAGCTTTTATAACTTAATGTAGAGTGAACCAATTAGGCCAACAAACCATGGATTAGCATAACTGTTTGTCAGGACATCCACAACTGTCTGCTGTGGGATGAGCATCAATAAATCATTTTAAATGGTTTCCATTACAAACCACATAGGATTACATGCTGATTGGGAGGTTGGGACACCCCCCCCAAAAAAAAAGTAAAGATGAGGATCACGTGATCTTCTATCCTTGATGCCTAAATGTGCTTTCCTTGTATGACATAGTCCCAAATGAGCCACTCACCTTGATTATGGATCGCCACTGGACTGGCGCAGCATTATCAAGTCTGTTATGCAGTCCAACGAAAGCAAAATGTACTCCCGGTCTGGAGAAATAAAAACACAACTCTTGTCTAACATGCTATCGTGACCTTTTTGTCTCCGATGCATACATGCAGCTAAACTGAACATTGAGATACTGTAAAGCAATCCCTTGGTGCTGGGGATGGAAAAAAATAGGGTAGGGTAGGATAGAAAATAGAACAGAAATAAGAGTAGAGGAGCGTAGAAATGGAACAGAAATAGAAATGAATAGAATGGAAAATGAGAATAGAAGGGAATGGAATGAAATAGGAGAAAATGGAATGGAAATGGGAATGGAATGGAATAGGAATGGAATTAGAACAGAACAGAACACAACAGAATAACCAGAGCATACAAAACATTTGCTAGACCAATACTCGAAGACAGCTCATCAGTCTGGAACATGCATTACGTATCTGATATTAACACAGTTGAGAAAGTCCAGAAATATTTCACAAGAAGAGTTCTCCACTCCTCTACTCGTAGCAGATAGGCTCTCGTAAATAGACAGCCTCTAATTGAGATTCAAATTCTTGAATCTCGGATCGTTTTGGTGATTCAGTAGTTCAGAAAGGGATAGAATAGTTTGGAGAGGCAGATGGGCAAAGAGGTGGTTAAATCAGATAAGACCTTTTGATGGACAGGTCAAAGGCTAGAATTCTCTTTCATCTTTATGGGAGGGATACAGTCTTAGAGCAGACAAAAGTTGTCCAACCTTAGCAACTTTTAAACTTGGGGATTTTTAATTCTCAGCCTCTGATGATTCCAAATAAGGAAGAAACTGGTAAGATGGTGCCTCTAGGACGGGGATCAATATAACAAGAACATGGAAAGGATGTACTTACTTCACATTGCAGTGAGCAGCTGTAACAACCCAATTCTCATTAATCAGGGAACCACCACATATATGGAAACGTGAGTTAGTCTAGAACAAAAAATGAAAATAGCACAGATTTGGAATGCACCAAGGAAAAAATGCATCCAGAAAACAGGTTGTTGGGCAAATTTACACTCCTAATTTTTTCCTTCCTTGCTCCCCCCTTTCATTTTTTTGAGGACTGAACTAAACAGAACAGGAAAAAAACAACACCTGTAGTTCACCTTTTCCAACTGGAATGAATCTCAAGTATGGATATGAGTGAATTCTAAAGCCAGGTCCAACTGGCACTTAATTTGAGCCTTCTTCTCACTTTGGATGCAAAAGTAGCAGCAAATAAACTCTAAATAAATCTGTCTTCAAAACAACCAAACACACTCTTCTACCAGAAAGAATATACAATACTAAAAGTTGCACACAAATAGTTAATTTTCTTTTTAAGTTTGCATAACAGAGAAAGGTAAGTTTGATTTTATTTTTGAAAAATCAGTTTATATTTTAAAACATCATTTTTAGGAGCTTCAGGAAATGGGAGATGCATAGAAGCACCTGCATATGTTCTGAAGCTCAGCAAAAATGAGATTTCCACATTTTTTAAAAAAAATATAAAACTCTCTACCAGGTAGGAATACTGTGTTATTAACAAGAACAAAATTTTAGTCATTTATTCTGGGGCAGCCTATTTTTACGAGTAACAGATTTACTAAAACCATCCAGAGTTTAAACTCGGATTAGTAGAGTTGTGACATCTTTTTCCCACTTCAAGGATCATTGTGAGGAAAATACCCATTTAAGGAAGGGGCCAGTGGTTATATAGACTCTCTAAAAATGACTATCTAACATTGCAAAACTAGTGAATTATAACACAACCTTTACTGAAGGAATATAGAATCTGACAACCATACGGAGTGACTGAATTATAGTTTGACTCCACATTCTGCTCTTCTAAAGAGGCTCCAAGACTGCCCTTGCTATACTATCATAGCACCTTCTAACATAAACTCTCTTTTTATGACCCTGTAATCCCTTAATCTAAGGTAGAGTCAGGGGGGACTGGATGGAATTGAGCATTTACTGGCCAGATGCCCTTCCTGACACCTACACAGGAATTCACAGCACATTTTTTTTTTTCTTTGTGCCTTAGGAGTGAAACATATACCACTGCCTAGGGCCGAACTCTCAACCTTATGAATGTGAGGCAACTGTCTTCACCATTAGGCCACCATGCCATTCTACCTTCTATCATAAAAAATGTCCTTTAATTGTGCCCACATATTGACTCAATTCAACCCGACAACAACTCGGTGTTCATCCTCTATCTTCTTCCATTCCAGGGTCCTCGGGCAGTTTTAGTTTGCCTGCTGTGCCTAAAGTGCAGTTCAGCATCTTGGATAGAAGGAGAATAGTACTTCTCCCCCACACTACTGACCTACCAGTGATCGCAAGAGATGTCCTTACATAGTGCTTGTCCTCCATACTATTGATCTACTAGCGATGTACTCACCTGTAGTGAGACTTGCCAGGGCCAAGAACCACGATTGGCATCCATCCCGTTGATAATTCTCTCTGTATTTTTCACATTGGGCTTAATGGCTGGGATCCCATCGCATATGAAAAGGCAAAGAGAGGGTCAATCTGGTAAGTATCTCAGATCTGGACTGAGTAGCCTTCTGTGAGGATCCTCCAAGGTTGTGGAGGATTGTTCAGATTTGTTCATTCGCTTTGACAAGCTCAGAGAAACCAGAAGCTACACGCCGCTGGTTGCTTGTTACGCATTAGGCTACAGAATAGGGGCCTTTTCATTTTTCAGGTTGAGAAAGCCACAATTGGCCCTTGAGTAGTACGTGAGGCAGGGCCCCCATTCTGAACATTTGCAGGACAAAGTAGGGCCAAAGCAAACTTGATTTAACTCTGCGTGAATGTCCATTTCAGTCTAAACAAACTGTCCGCAATGTTGCTCCCTATACGGTTAATCGTGTCCTCCTTTGTCTGCACCTGGCATTTTATAATAGAGTGATTTTTTTTTGGAAAAAGGCACTGCTGGCATTAGGAAAAGCAACCCAAAGAAGGTGATGGCAAGCTGTTTGAACTGCCAGAAAACTACCTGCATGCCTCGTGGGCATCATTCACAGTTCCTCTTTGAAGAAGGGTACCGAAACCCCACAGAGTGGTAGCTGGAAGCATTCTTCCTTTCCCTGCCTGTTTTTTTTTTTTTTTTTTTTTTTGCAAGAGAGGACTTTCAAGCAAGCAGGCCTGTGAATTAGGCAACGTGCGTTGTGCACCTGTGTGTAACATGTTGCAAGCAATGAACTTAAGCATTACCCCCCCCCCCATGCATGTTCCATCAGCCGTGATGAAAGCATAGGAAGCAACCAACCAACCTAGAAAGGCAACCCATACTTTACTCACCACAGGCAACATCAAGGAGCACTAGGTAAGTGAGAGACGCCCACAGAAAAGTCATTTTGGTTGCTACTCCCTGGAGTTTTAGGTCCTGGGTGCTGCTAGGTTTTTATTTCTATGACCCGTGGCGCTTTGCCAGGTGCGGCTGACTTCCACTCCCCACATCCTTGGATTGATGATAGGAGGAGCAGATTAAATTTAGCCTTGGTTGCATCGGGCAGGTGTCTTTTCAAGAACGTTTCACCAACAGTGCCCCAGCGTGTGCAAACTACACCTGTTTCCCATAACGGTTTTTTTTCTTTCTTTCAAGCTGAACAGCAAAGCCAAAAGCTCCTTGTTGGCCATTTGTAGAGTTTTCAGACTTAGCCCAATCACCACCTTTGCCTTCTTTTCCACCCAACCATTGCTAAAGCCTTTCCTGGTAGTCTCCTTAACATCTCCTAACACCCTTTCTCCAGGAAGTCCAGAGACTCGAACTGGGGCCCTTTCTGGGAAGACCGTGCATTGTTGCCTGTGATGTAGCTCCATTCTGCAAAACTGCTGACATCAAAACATCTTACTCAACCTTCTAGGAATTGGGCCATAGGCAAGAATCCTCGAAAAGGAAGTAGACTGGAGAAAGCCTCTCTATTTCTCATGTACTTCTGTTGCAGAACCAATCAGGATATCCCAGGCTGAGTTTAAAAAAAAACAAAACCCCAAACCCTCTTTTTAAAAGAAACTGGTCCTTGCCAAAGAGATCTTCTTCTTCTTCTTGGGGAGCATATTGACTCCGTGGTGATCCTGTGCATTTGTCCTGGAGCTTCTTTTGCCTTTAGACAAGACTATATGGACACACAATGACCTTACTTTATGTCACAGGGACACCGACCAACCAGACTACGGAAGCTCTGAAGGACAAAGTCATTCCAACTATGTTCCTCACTATGTGCTTCTTGATTGGGGCTCCTGGCAATGGTCTCGTGATCTGGACTATCCTTTCCAAATTCCCCCAGCGCTCCTTCACCATTGCCCTCATCCTGAACTTAGCTGTGGCCGACTTACTGGTAATATTGACGGTGCCTTTCTGGACTTACTATTTCGTCAAAGACTGGGTTTTTGGGAACTTCATGTGCTGGTTCCTCATGTACCTCGTGTGTTTGACCGTCTACACCAGCATCTTCTCCATCACATTAATGAGCCTCCACCGCTTCGCGGTGGTGGTCCTTCCATTTGCTTCCCAAAGATGGAGGAAGCCAAGGGAAGTGTATGGGATCATGCTAGCTGTTTGGTTGCTAGCCGGGCTTCTCTCCTGCCCGTATTTAATATTCTCATACAAAAAGATGCCCGAAGGGAAGTGCACAGATGAATTTTATGACTCGGACAACCAGCAGCTCGTATTTAACATAGTGGAGACACTGTTTGCCTTTGTGATCCCTTTTGCTGTGTTGGCCGTCTGCTACACATACGTGGCGAGAAAGATTCGGACTCTGAAAAACCACAAGGAAATGAAAACCGGGAAATTGATTGCTGCAGTTGTTGGAGCCTTCTTTGTTTGCTGGCTTCCTTATCACATCTTAAACCTCATCACCATCTCTGCATTGTTGCTGAGGCATGCCAAGCCCGAGGTCAGCCAGAAGTTACTTGAGTCCATTAAAACTTTAGCCAACATTCAGGCGACGGTGGCCTTTGTAAGCAGCTGCATCAATCCTATCCTCTACGCTTTTGCTGCACGGAGTTTCCGTGGAGGGCTACGCGAGACTAATTTTGCAAAACTGTTTGAAAAACTGCGCAACGACACGGAGGAAAAAGTAACCAAGGCCAATACTGTTTCCATGCAGACTTTATAGTTCAGGAAGAACTGGGAGCAAAACTGGATTAGCAAACTCTGTATTTTCTGAATTGAATGCAATTGTTGCATCTAGAAAGGGCTACAAGGGAAGATGTTAGATAAAAGATTTTAGAGGATATAGAGAAACTGAGGTGAGAACAAAGGCGTTCAGAGAACTATTTTAGTTTCGAATATTGACAATTCCATGATGGCAATTTGGGGAAGTTTTATTTTCTCCTGTGTGACTTGTTTATTATTTCATTTGTTTTCCCCAGGTAGTTATATTGCTTTACTCCTCCCTTCAGACCAATTCTACAGAAGAAATTAGTAATGTTTGCTTCTTATGGCTTACTGTATCCAGGTCTAAACCAACTGTAGCTAGACTTTATTGGAATTTAAAAAAAAAACACACACACGTTAAACTCTAGTTCATGATCCTGACTTATCTGCTTAATTAAGCTTGAATTAATTTCTGGCTTACTCAGAACAAAAGGTATTTTTAAGGAAAACGCTGAAGTCAAACTTTCTAGTCTTCCTTCAAGGGTATGAAAAGATGAAGGCGAAACATGTGGTTTGCCCTTTCTGCTAAGTTATGGGTTATTTTGCCACAATTAGCTGAATCATGCAACTTATTAAGTCACAAGGGTTGCTATACCAATCCCAAACCAATTTATAGTTTAGTGCAATGTATGTATTTCTTCAGTGACTCAAAACCATATTTTAATGTTGATCAGATCAATGTGAGGTGAAGCATTTCCACGCATTTGTTGAGTTCCTCTTGAGTGGGAATGTTACCATGAGAAAAGGATTTGATAAGGGTCTGGTAAGACACTTCCTGAAAATGCATGTTTTGCGGTCAACCTATTTTACTCTGGCAATGCATCACTTCCTGTTGTGATTTCAAAGAGTGTATAGCAAGAATCTGTTTTTCTTGTTGGTGTTTTGGGGAACAGTAATGGTTAATAGAGAGAATTGACTCTGAATGTCAGTAATCTCTGGAACCAAATCCCATTTCACTAAGTCTTTAAAATAGTTAATTAAAACATCCGAACCCAGTTCCAACTGTTGCTTGCTTTCTTCCTGCTTCTCAAGACAACTGATGCTCAGTATTTTATTTATGAGGGGTGTATTTTCTACTCTACGATATATTCAATTCTGCATCACCCTGAACAATGAGAAAGAATGGACATAAAAAGCACCTAGTGACTAACAGTGGGGTTGCTGCTGACCATTAATAAGTGTCCCAAGTTATTTCCCACACTATATGGTATATTGCAAATATGACTTTGTCCCAGAAAAACCAATGGGCTCCTGCGACTGGAAACAGAGTGGAAAACAATTCAGTTACTATTTGTCTGAAAAAAAAATATCTGTGCAAAAATCAAGTTAGACTCTTCTTTTGCTGCCTGTTATCAGATTCATGGATATGGTGGGGTTGCTGGTGAAATAAAGGCTTTCTATGGCTAGTAGCTAGGATCACCATACATTATTTCTGGTACAAGAGTAAACATAGCCCTTGATAACAGTTGATGGGGAACATGAGCAGTAGGGCATTATATCCCTTGTTTCAGTGGTGGTATTCAAACTTTTTTACTACCGGTTCTGGGGCGTGGCTTGGTGGGTGTGGTGTGGCTTGGTGAGTGTGGCAGAGGAAGGATACTGCAAAATCTCCACTCCCTCCCCATCCCACTTATCTCAGCCTCTGTGCTTATTTCTATTATTATTTTTCTTTCTTTGTTGCATGGAGGAACTTTCCGTAATCTCACACCTGTGTTTTCTTTAATCAGTCTTTATCCTTCCTTTCCTTACGCCCCGCAGATCCCAAGGGAAAAACCTTGAGGGCTGCAGCTGGGTGTCAAGACTTGGGAATGGTTGTGGTGGGACTGTGATTGTCTCTTCACAAGCAGTAGCCTTTGTTGGAGGGGGGGGGGGAGACTAATATCCTCTATCCCAGAGGTTTCCAAACTTGGCAACTTTAGACTTGTGGACTTCAACTCCCAGAATTCTCCAGCCAGCAGAGCCCACCCTTGGCCACTTGTGGATAGGCCAACGAAAGAAAAAGCAGAAGGAGAAAAGAGACTCGTCTGGTTTAAAATACAGGTAGTTCTTGACTTACAATTGTTCATTTAATGACTGTTCAAAGTTACAACGGCACCAAAAAAAGGTAACTTGTGTTCTGACCATTGCAGCAACTTACGACGCGATCAAAATTTGGATGCTTGGCAACTGACTTATATTTATGACGGTTACAGTTTTGGGGAGTCACGTGATTCCCCCGCTTGCGACCTTCCGACAAACACAGTCAATGGAGGAAGCCAGATACGCTTCACAACAGTGTCCCTAACTTCACAATGGCAGTGATCCACTTAAACAACCGTGGCAAGAAAGTTCGTCAAAAATCCACTTCGCGGAATGTTTCCCTTAGCCAGGAGTGGGATTCAAAAATCCCAGCCACTGTTTTGCTGCCTGGTTGCTGGGTGGGTGTGGCCATGATGGGCGTGGCCTACTGGAACTTCCTGTTTGCGGCTTCTGGTGGGCCACAGGAGCCCGGGGAGGCCCCCCTCCAGGGGGTCCGTAGGCCTCCCCAGGGCCTCTGGGAGGTTGAAAACCACCTCACCTGGGCTCTGGAGGCTAGAAACAGACCCATTTCCGGACTTTGGAAGGCCTGGTTTTAGCTCCATCAAAAATGGGCCATGTGGAGACTCTCGGGAGGGGCGGGGTATGCAGGGAGAGCCAGTTGATTGAAATACCAGTTCGGTGAACCGGATGTAACTTTAACATCTGGTTTGCCTGAACTGACCCAAACCAATAGAATCCCACCCCTGCCCTTAGCCATAGAAAGTTTGGGCTCCACTGTGATCATAAGCAGTGGTGGGATTCAAATTTTTTTACTACTGGTTCTGTGGGCATGGCTTGATGGGTGTGGCTTGGTGGGCGTGGCAGGGGAAGGATACTGCAAAATCCCCCTTCCCTCCCCACCCCACTAACCTGCTTTCCAGCTCCGTTCTCCTGTGCAGGGCAACCAAAGAAGACCCAGTCGATCAGCTGGGACTCATTGGGAGGTAGAGAATAGAGTGGGGCGGGGCCAGTCAGAGGTGGGATTTGCCAGTTCTCCAAACTACTCAATATTTCTACTACCGGTTCTCCAGAACTGGTCAGAACCGGCTGAATACCACCTCTGATCGTAAGTCGAGTACAACCTGTATCGGCAACCTTGCATCTGGCCACACAAAATGGCGCAGGGCTTGTTGGTATCGTAGATAAGGTTTTTCCACCTTGCCTGCAGACTGGTGGATTCAGACAGGCTGGCAAGACAGTTGGCGGCAGGAGTAGCAGCTACAGTTAGCGGGCTCTCAGGCACATTTGGACTTGCCAAGGCAGAAGGGCAGCTCTGGAGCAGGAACCAAGATATTGCTGAAAACGGGATCGTAATTCTCCGGTAGGACTTGCGGATTCTGTGCCATGATTCCCAGCACGTGATTGCAGATTTCTTTGGAGATGTCGCCCCGCAAGTAGAAGAACATGGAAATGTGGTCCTCGCTGGAGAAACAAGATGGAAGATAAGCGTGTTACACGACTTTACAGCGGACGCGAGAAAAGACTTCAAAACCAACTTATCATCATGGAACCTTGTATGGCGAGCTCTTCCAATCAATCAATGGAACAAAAGTTGCCTTCGGAAGTT